TGTCTAAGTGGTTCTTCAGATTAGCCGCGTTTTGGGCCAAATTTGCCGAAACGAGGGTTGGAATCAAATTCATGGATACCTTAAGACCTGATCTGATTGCCCACAAAATGGGTTATCCCATGGCGTACGCCAATGTCGATGAAGTCCTGCTGACATGTCTTATCGGACGTATGGATCCGTCTATACTTCACAAGAGATTAGAGTATTTAAGTGACCGTAAGATCAGGACTCTTGTGGCGCACGGATTCAGGGATCGACTCGTCTTAAGAAGTAATTTCGAGGCAGTGGTCAGGGATTTGAAGGCAAATCCGGGAGATTTTGTTCACTTCTCGTCCGATGATAATAATGGTGTGAATAGTATACCAGAAAGTGATGACAAGAATTGGATTAAAGTCTTAACCTTTGAAAGCGGCGGACATATGACTCACAACAAGTTCAGTGATATTGTGAACCCATATATTGCAAGACATTTGTTGTCCATACATTAGGTACCAATTGAACGATTAGAAAAATATTTATACTAGGTTAAAATAGTAGAATTATTAGTGTTTTTGAATTTATTAAAATTTTGACAAATAAAAAGTTTTATTATTACCCGTATAAGATTTTGCATTGAATTTGTTGCTAAAAACTACTTTAAATGCCTTACAAGTGATGGCACCGTAATTTTTAACTCTAACATGTATGTGCTAATTTTAAATTACCGGTATAAAAACTACCACAATAATAACAAAACCATGCTTCACCAGACTCAATTAATTTTTCAATATTATGTCGACTCTTATGTGAACTCCGATTACAATTAAAATTTAAATAAATTAATTATATTTGTTTATAATGTTGTAATTTTCTTACTTAATGTGCATATCTGATTAATTGTTTATAATTAAATGAACCAAGGACATTGAACATTAAAGTCACATGAGGTAAACTGTTTTATATTGATTACTGTATATTAAATTAATATTATTAATGAATAGTGTTTTGGGAAAACTTTGTTAAGTGTTATAAATTTGTGAAAAATGTTTGCAAAAAGATTATTATTTGAGAGTCCTTTGAATGTTTGTTCAAAAAGTGTACACAAAATAAAGTTTTCAACTATTAATGAAAATATAATCAAAAGAATTGAATTCAAAACTTGTGGTCAATTGTATGAGAAGTTGAAGACAAATAATTCAAGACTTTATGCAAACAGTCCTTCCGATGGACTGCCAGTGAGTGTTGAATATGTGGACACTTTTGCTCATAAAAAGTCTTCAAACAGTAGTCATATTAAGACAATTGTTGCCATCCATGGTGTCCCCGGTCATTATAACCACTTCCACAGATTGTTTCACTACTTCTGAGTGTTGAATATGTGGACACTTTTGCTCATAAAAAGTCTTCAAACAGTAGTCATATTAAGACAATTGTTGCCATCCATGGTGTCCCCGGTCATTATAACCACTTCCACAGATTGTTTCACTACTTCGGTGGCAATGATAGCACCGTTCGAGTCATTGCTCCAAATATGCCGGACTTCGGACTCACGCGACAGTCGATGGCTTTCTGGCACTCAAACCACGAAAGATCTCAATTCATACGCGACTTCTTGAGAGCCATAAACGTCTCGAGCATTGATTGTCTGATCAGTCATTCCGCGGGAATTATTCCCGTTTCGAGGCTATGGACACAACCTGAAGATCTCACCATTGGATCCGTTTGTCTGTTATCACCACAGCCTCTATGGCTGCCCGACTGGTGGTTCAGATTAGGCCGTATTTTCTCGAAATGTGCCGAAACGAGGACTGGTATCAAACTCATAGATACCATAAGACCTGATCTGATCGCTCGTGCGATCCGTTATCCCATATCGTACGCCAATGTCGATGAGATACTGATGACTAGTCTTATATCACGTATTGGTCGACAGGAACTCCACAAGAGTTTAGTGGACTTAAGTGTCCAGAAGATTAAAACACTTGTGGTGTATGGACTCAAAGATCAATTAACCACAAGAAAAAATTTCAGAGATTTAGTGCGAGATTTGAAAGTAAATCCAAAAGATTTTGTTCACTTCTCGTCCGATAATAATAATGGTGTGAATAGTATAGCAGAAAGTGATGACAAGAATTGGATCAAAGTCTTAACCTTTGAAAGCGGCGGACATTTTACTCACAATAAGTTCAGTGATATTGTGAACCCATATATTGCCAAACATTTATTGTCCATACATTAGGTACTAATTAAGATTTTGATTATATTTTCTCAATAAACTTTAACAACTAGTTAATAATTTTAAGTAATTTTTATTGATTATAACTGCAGTCAAAAATGTAATATAAAAGTTAGAAATAAAATAACGAATATATAGTCATTCAATGAAAGTGTCATTAAATAAAGTCTCCCTAAGAATAGGTCCGAAATATTGCACATATAATTCACTGCCGTTTTGTTTCTCGATATCACTTATAATCTGTAAATCCATTAATATATTCATCAGTTGTTGGAGTTTTGATTGCGATTCCCATTCGTATCGATTCTGTTGTATTAGATAGCGTTGGAGTAAATATATGTATAATTGCTGTTCAGCTCTATTATGTAAATAAAAAAAATATATATATTTAGACATGAATTTTCAAAATCAATATCTAAAGCAAATACAGTATTTCTATTTTATTCAAAACACTCACTTAATCACTTCATTGTGCATCAGATTAGGTCGGTTTGGGTTAAACAGTAATATTGCTGTCAACTGTTAAATAAATTACAATATGACAAATTATCATAAATTATGAACAATAACTATATAATTAATGAATACCAAATCTAAAATAATGAAATCCTGGTTCCATTGTGGTATGATCTTGTTGATGTATGCCTTATACACAGTATACATGTTTCGCTTCTCATACTTTATTAAATCCAATTTATATACAAATGAATTGTTTGAATTCTATACAAATATTTAACCAGAATATTCTGTTAACCAATTATTCTACAGTATAATGTATTCACTATACTAACCAAAACTGCAGTACAGTATTCAGTCTCATTGTCCCAAAGTATTGAATACCAGAGTATAAGTACCTCAAGACATCCATACTTAATAAGCGCCAATTGATCATTAAGGCATATGTCACCAAACGTACTCAAAGTCTTAGTGAACTTAACCAGGTCCACCATATCCTGGTCCATTTTGTCACCCCACGCTCGATACAACTCCAATATATCTGTGATTTCGATGCGATTTATAGTACAAAACGACTTATACGTGAAGACATTGCAGGCGTTAAACAATTCCGACAATCGCTTGGACTCCAAGTCATTGAAACTCTTGTAATCTGTTATTTGTTTGAACACTGGTTTCAGTGATAACTGCACCTCCGACTCAAACATTGTTTCCGATTCATTGTCTGTCATATTGTTTTCAAATGTACTTATTATCTGATTCACGTGTATCTCATCATTGCTGTCAAAGATGTTATCTAAAACGGTGTTATCTCTGAAATACTCGAGTATCCCACCAGTGTTTGTGTCAACACTCGTGTCATCGACAGTGTTATCAGTATTTAATACCTTTTTCTTATTATTTGCTACTTTTCCACGTTTTTTGGGACCCGTTCTCTGAATCAATTCCTATAGATTTACACATATTTTATATTTATTTAATTAGCTAGTAACTTATACACAATTTTAGTGAACTTACATTCATCATGCCATTTTCAATACACTTATTCATACGACAACTTTTACACAACTTTCTCGTATTCACATTAACAGTACATTTGCCAAACCAACGACAACTGAAAAACTTTTTGCGTTTAAAGTTGAACATTAAATTCATCATGTTCAATAATGATTTTTAAATACAAATATCCGGCTCATAATTACCCTGTTCTTGAGATTAGCCCTCCTGAAGAACACTTTACAGGACTCGCAGGTTATGGCTCCGAAATTTCGCCCTAATATGTCGATTAAAATAATTATTTGTTTATAACAATAATTATTATTATATATACATTATTATTACTGTATATATCATTATTATTAATTGTAAAAAATCATTACCGACTGCATTGTCACCGCATATATCGCATTTCAGTTGCACTTTTTTCTGAGACATTACTGTTAATTACCTTTCGTTCAATAATTATTATAAATCATAAAACCAATTAATTGATTTTTATATTAAGCACAATTAAATCTCTGACGTTAGACCACGGAATACGGTGTGAAACAAAACAAATGTCTTACGACTGTCTTAAACAAGGGAGGGTTGGATCAAAATTATTGTCGTTTATTGTTTGTTTGTAAATTCAATATTTAATGTATCAGGTTTGCATAGACTCATTACACAAACAAGTATTACCGTACTAATACTGTATTAGATAATAAGCGTGTTTTTATTATATTGCCTTGTGAATTGTATTTATAGATAAGAAAGTACATTTAGACTGATGTATATATACCGGTATATCTCACCCGCAAAGCCTTCACATTTAATCTTTAACCAGTGATAACAACAATGAATCAAAATGAACTATCAACATTTAAAATGGGCTTTTATACAGAAAATAATCTATTCAATAGCGTTTTATAAATCGTTAATATTTTTATGTTAATGAAGTTGTTAATAGTTCAATGTATTCACTAATCAATAAGCGTATAAACATTTTTCATAATATTATAAAATAGGAATATTTTTAGAATAATAGATTAAATTACTATATAAACTACTAAATAATACATGTATTATTAATGAAAAATAATCGTTGATTGAATAAATAGAAAACAAATGAGTATTACATGACTTGTAACTGTAAATTATTTTGTAGTTTCAGAAAACAATGCATCTTTTCAATAGTTTATGAGAAATAAGCTTAAAATTTATGAAAACTTCACAATTAATGAACAAAATTTATATTCTTTATATTGGAAAACATGAATGAATATTCCCTAAACGTATGAACAAAGTATCTAGTTGCTAATATCCAATATCTCCCTGAGCAGTGGTCCGAAAGCCTCCGGTGCATTACGACTCTGCGCACATTTGGTCATTTTGAGCTTGTTGAATTCTTCCAAATCGTGTAATGTATTCAATAGTCTCAGGAATTTCTCTTTTGAGTGACACTCGGATTTACTTTTAAGCAGTAGATAGCGTTGAAGTAAATACATATACATTTGTTGCTGAAGTCTGAAAGTAGTACAAAATAAAAATCATTAATTAAATACAATCACATATGCCGTACAGTAGTAAGCAGTCTATAGAAAAAATACTCACTTAACCATATCCTTGTGTATCAGGTTTGGACGATCCGGATTAAATAGTACTATAGCTGTCAACTGTTCAATAAAGTTAATAGTTTAGTAATGACAATTAAATTTAATTATTGTTAGTTATATACCAAATCCAGAATATATGGATCGGAATCCCATTCTTTGCCTATTTTTCTTAAATAATTCTTGTGGGCGGCGAACACATAGTCGTACTCCAGGTTACTAAACCTCAGTAATATTGATTGATTGTTATCCTGATAAATCAAAAAATAGAAAGATTATTTATTAATAAAATATAAAAACATACAAGTCTTAAGTGTAATATTCATAATATCCTTAATACTAACCATAACCAAAGTCCACGAGTCGTTGATGAAGTCGTACGTGAGTACAGACCGCATACTGAATATCTCGAGGGACCCGTACTTGAGCAGGGAGATCTGGTCATTCTCGCACATCGTGTTGAAAGCGCTCAAATTCTTGGACACAGTGACCAGTGCCCTGATCTCCTTGTCCACTTTGGTGGCCATAATGGTGCACATCTCGTCCATGGACTTCATTTCGACGCTATTCTCGGGTAACGGCGTCTGCATAATGTTGAGCGCCGTAAACAACTCCGTCAACCGGTTGTACTCGAGTTCGTTGAATGTGTTGCTATTCTCGCCCATCGGTCGGGCGATCGGGAGTACAGCGAACTCCAGTTCCACCGCTTTCTGGTAGACGTCGGGCGCGATGTCGTCGTTATCGTCGTCGTCGTCGTCATCCTTATGAACGACCACATCGTCGCTGAAGATATAGCTCTCGATGTCTGTGATGTTGTGAATGATCTCGTCGTCGCTGATGTCGTTGTTCTNGACGTCCGGCGCGATGTCGTCGTTATCGTCGTCGTCGTCGTCATCCTTATGAACGACCACATCGTCGCTGAAGATATAGCTCTCGATGTCTGTGATGTTGTGAATGATCTCGTCGTCGCTGATGTCGTTGTTCTGGTCGTACACTTCAATGGAGTTGAGATCCGTGGCCAACGCGCCGGGCGATGGGTTCCCGGTGTTGGACGAGTCCGACGTCGACTTTGTCTCCGACGACGAGCTTTGGACCGAATTCTTGCGTTTTTTGCTCCGTTTCTCCTCAATCTTCTTCCGTCGCACCTGTTTTTCCTCGTCGTTAAGAATCCACTCCTGGAGTCAATGGAGATATCATGTAATTCGTGTCCAATATATGGTGATAATGAGTGATAATACCTGTTTCATCCCGATCTCGAAGCACTTGCGGAGTCGACAGCGGCGGCAGAACTTTCTGGTGACTGAATCTAATTTGCATTTCTCGTCGAAATAGCATTTGTAGACCTATTTTGGGATATATATACACAAAATGTATGAACATTTCTGTAGTTTTACTCTTAATCTAATGGATATAATGATAAAACAATTTAATTTACGGTCAGTTTGTGTGCGTTTCGTCTGAAGAAGGCTTTACACGACTCGCAGGAAACGGCGCCAAAGTTTTTCGCTAAATAAATATAATTATGAAATGAATTATTATTATATGAAAAACATATGCATATTTTTATGCACCTATTTTTAAACAACATTTTTATCACTATTACTAACATTTGTTTGTTTAAACCAGTATAAGGAAATAACTTTCATTTATTTGTTATATAATATTGTCAATGAGTTTATCAGGGATCCGATAAACATATACTAATTTATTTGTCATTTAATATATTATAAGTTATTTTAACCTGAATTTCGAGGTATAGCTACAAA